TGACCAAGTAGGATTTAATAGCAGGAATGCAAGGTTAGTTTAATATCTGAAACACCAAGCAACATAAATACATATTATTACAATATAAAACAAAATCATGCACCTGGGAGGTGGTGGTGCACACCCTTGATCACAGCACTGGGAAGGCAGAAGCAGTTGGATCTCTGTGAGTTCAAGGCCAGCCTGATCTACAAAGCAAGTTCCCAGACAGCCAAGACTGTTACACAGAGAAACCCTGTCTCAAAAACCAAAAAACAAACATCATGAAAATATTCAGAAAAAGTATTTCACAAAATCTAATGCTTTTGATGATGAAAAAATACTCAAGAACTATGAGGGTGCAGATGATTCATTTGTGGGACTCTGAGTGAGAAGAAGCAAGATCAAACATGAGAAACTATATTCCAAGGCATTGATTAGTATCAACAAGAAAGTGACAAACAGTTCAAAAGCTTGAGAAAACAGAAAGACATCTAAGAAATCTAAGGAAGCAGTCTGTCATTTACTACTCCAATTCTGATGACCAAAAAAGAGCTCAGGTTTGCAGCTCTGGTGACAAGAAACTGACAGTCCTGCCACCAGAGAGCCCCACCGTTCTCCGAGCCTTAAAGGCAGTGCCGGAACCGTGGGACAATCCCCCTCCTGCAATGGCTGACGAGCACTGGAGAAGAATCAACTTCCTGACGCCCTCCTCCACTCAGAATGTCAGCTTGGCACCACTGACAGAGGGGACCTTCTGTTTCTGTTGTTGAGGACTGAGCTATTCTAGAACTCTAGAGACAAGTCAGAGAGCCTAAGGACACCAGGTCACAATGTACAGCTAGGGAAGAAACATAAGTAGCAGTTGTGGACCCACTGAGAAGTTGGAACAGCAGAGCTCAGGACCTTAGACTGTTGGTGATCCTGCCCTGTGGGTCAAGGAGTGAGACAAGACCAACCACCCGTGGACTAATAATATGCAGACTCTGAGCTCTGAGCCATGTCTTTAAAATGGTTTAAGAAAAACTGAAAGCCAGGCGTTGGTGGCGCACGCCTTTAATCCCAGCACTCGGGAGGCAGAGCCAGGCGGATCTCTGTGAGTTCGAGGCCAGCCTGGGCTACCAAGTGAGCT